GACCGGCCGGATCGCGCTGGGGAAGAGCTGCGGGGGGGTGGCGGAAGGCATGCGGGAAGGTCGGTGCGCAGGGGGTCGGGACGGGGCAAGGGCCAAAGGGCTTAAAGCACTGCACTGAGGGTGCAGGAGGCGCTTTCTGCCAGCAGCGCAGGGACAGACCGCATAGAAACAGCGTGGGGAGCCCTTGGCTGCAGATGGGGGAGAGGAGCTCAGCTAAAGACCCTTGGGGTATTCGGGCCTTGAGACTGGGGGGGCTAGATGATGCCTCGAGGTCCTTTTCAAAGCCTCTTGTTTGTTGGTTTTTAACCGTTGTTATTCCTGTGGCCACAAGCTGAAGCCAACAGCTCGTGGGACAGTTGTAAATACAGAGAGCCCTGTGTGTACCCGTACTGGTGTCGCTCGGCCCATAAGGTGTCCTGGCAAGCAGGCGTGTGTCCTTGCTGGGGTTTTTCAGTGCCTCTTGGGTTCACAGCCCATGTATTCCTTAGCCTGTGTTTCTCACGCTTCTTAAAACTGCATTCGGCCCACTTTCACGTTTGGGGGGGAGAAAAAAATCGATCTGTGTTCTCCAGCTGCTAGGGAGTTCTTACGTGATTCCTCTGAAAATGGGCAGAGTTTTTCTTTTATTGCAGTGGTTAAGCGGAAAAAAATAGTCTCACCTCTGTCTGGGATTTTACAGAGAGGTGTAAAAATTGCATGTTCATGAGCCATTTCCTATACGAGTAGGCACACTGATGTCACGAAGTGTGTGAGCCCAAGGATGCAGGTTCAGACCTCAGAAAAATTAAAATCATTTCAATTGCAGACTCCTCCAAAGTTATTTGATAATGTTTTATAATCAAGACTACTTTAAAATATTCAGTTATTTTGTTCTGCCTGAAGCAACAGTGGTTTCGCTTCATTCAATTGCCTTTGGTAAAAATCTAGTTTTTCCTTGGCTGTTTATCTAAGCTGAGTCGAAAACTTTATTTTACTGGCAGTCCTAGGGCACCTTTACCATCCATCTAATAGGAAAAACATACAATTCTCTCTCATTCGGCTGCTTAATTTTTCTTAGTAAGTAACGTTATTCCCATACACATGCCAGAGTGTAGAATACAAGTCTTAACCTCAACTTTAGTCCTAGAGTACTGTGTACCCCGCGTGCATTTGTGTAGTGCTGGCTGTAAAAAGGTTGTCATATCTCAATAGGTATGGGAAATTTGATTGCTTTGGCATAGGCTGTAAAATGTTTGTGTCAGTTCATATAAGCTTCATTTACAGGTTCCTTTTATCTAGTCAATAAACTGGTAAATTACTTGTTTGCTAATTCCTTTGGCAGTTGTTTTCATACCATATAGTCTGGGTGCAGATAAAAGCTCTCTGCATATATCTTTCTCCCTTTACATCGCAAAAACGAGGTTGCATTTTGTTTTGAAAGAAGTCGTTTTGATAAACGAAAAAACGAAAGCAGATAACGAAAGCAGAGATTCTTTAAAGGTGCTCACTTACTGGAATGCCTTTTTTGCAGCAGCCTGGGCTGGGCACGTACGCTCACTCAGAAATGCTTTACCACCTTCTGGAAAAACCACAATTATGCAATCATTCCATTTATTGCATGTGCTGATTGTTGTAATTCCTCTCTGCTTTTCGTTCTCGGAAACAGAGCCTATTTCAAGACTTCCGTACTATGAGAGAGCCAGATCTGTTTTGATCGAATTCTTTCGATACCAGTAGCTACTGAGCTATGTGAGTACTCTTTCCTTTTTTTCTAGGATTATGTCACCTCATATTAGCTACATATTTCTTGCTAGCTTTTGAATTAAATATAGTTCTGCATGACTTCACATAGGAGATGACAGGAATTGGATTTAACGTTCCTTTCTTCTACAAGTTTTACATTGGTTGGAATGCTACCAGCTTCAGGAAAATGACTCCAAGTTTCCCCTTGTATGAGAAAAGACTCAGGCTCTTTGCATTTATATTTTTGGGTGTAGTCTTAAGCAGTTCCTGCAGTAATAGTCACTTGATTTACTAGAGTGCTTTCCTGTGTTACGTTTTTTTTCTTTTTTGAATTTCTTTAGACAAAAAAGGGAAACTGCAAATAGATACCCAAAGCTTATAGGGCTGGGCAGGATTGTGTTGTGCCCAAGACACTGGGACTCGAGCCATGTGAGCTGATGTCAACATTTGCCTAGTTACTGGAACGGCTCTCTCTGCCATCCTGTTTTGCGATGTCCGCACAGACTGTAACGTGTCACAGGCAGGAACTGGCTCCTCCCTTGTTTTTTTTACAAAGCCTGTTTGGTTTTCCCCACTTTACTTATTGGAAAAAAAGGCACTTTTCTTCCTGGAAGATCTACTAGCAGCTCTCTCTTCTCTAGCATCCTTGGAGATATGAAATTGATAATAGAGGTAAAATCGAGGTAAATTTGGAATCTCAGTCCCTTTGGGAATAGAAGCTTACGCAAGTCAGATTGCACAGCCACTGACACATAGCTTTCCCTTGGATTACAAAGAGCACGTTGGGTGTGTAAATAAAGATGGAGCAGAGCCATGCAATCTGTTCAAGTTATCTTCTGACTGACTCTGTTTTTAAGACACCTATGTTCATTGCCTTGCCAATTGTAAGAGAGGCGGAGGTACGAAAAAAAGTAATGCCCATTACTTTAAGTGGGTGTTTCCTCTGGTACCAATGTGCTGTGATGCTGGTTTATCATGTCCAGTGTGGCTTCTCTGTGTAAGATATTAGTGGCATATTAGAGGTGCTAGCTGGTTTGGCTGATTAAATATTTGTAATGGGTGGTTAGGGTAAGCTGAAAGATGGGGGTAAGGGTGGTTTTGTTGTGGCGTTGTGTTTTAACAACTTTGGTCTGATTCTTAAGGCCAAGAACTTTGGTCTGATTTATTAAGGCTTTGGATGACTCCAGATCCTAAATATATAAATCTGTAAGGTGGAAAATTCTGGGAACTCTTAAACTGCTTTCAGTCATGATCAGCTTTGAAAACCTGAGAGTCGCTGAAGACCAATATGCTTCTTTCTCTTTTCAGAAAGTTCATGTTCGGTAATAAGAGTATTAAAAATAAATCAGTAAGAAATAATAAGAACATGCATTCTGACTTAGTGAGTGAAAGGACAGTGTTTATGTATATGTATATATGTATATGTATTTATATATATATCTGTAACCTAACTGATTCTTTTTGGATAGCTAAGCACAAAGCTTCTCTCTCCCTGCCCCCTTGTTCCCCCTGTAGCCATCCGTTGTGGAAGAACATAAATTTCGAGTGACTTTTGATTCCTTTTGGAGATTCAGTTTGTCCTCCCTGTTGCTTTGCCTAGATGGCGTGGAAGGTGTGCTTCTTGGGGTTTTTTTAAAAGAGTTTCTCTAGTTACCAAGTTGAACTGTTACATCTTGATTTCGGTGATGTTCATAGGACAAAGCTCTGTCAGTGAGTACCACAGAAAAATCTAACAGGCTTTAAATACTGAAGGTGACTGATGATACAAGCAGTACAATGTTGTTATTTGACAAATTTGATTGTGATAAAAAGCATACCCATTTTATGGTGATTGAGAGGTAAATTTGTTTTAACACATCCAAAACATGTTTGGTAGTTACTTGACTGGCAGTTTGAGCTGTGGCATTGAAGGTCAGCTATTCCAACCTACTCCCAGCCTACTCTTTCTGTGATACAACTTCCTATTTGAAGATGTACCTAAAGGAGGAGCAGCAGGTGTAGCTGAATTTCCTGTATTTGCTGAGGATAGTTAGTGGATTGTTAAGTTGTCTTCTCCGGGAGCGGCCAGTGACTTTACTGAACTGAAGCCAACAAGAAAATAGATGAAACTTTAGCAAAACATCCCTATGATAGTTTTCTGTGTGTTCTGGCACATTGAGCTGTTGGCAAGACTTTTAATGATCCACCTGGTTTATTTATGAGTCAGGAATTCTGTGACAGATAATACTATTTTTTCAGGTATTTAGGAAACATGTTCTTTGTAGTTCTGTTTCTCTTGCTGTGTAAAGCCATTCTGGAGACCTGTGTTTGGAGGCAAGATAGGAGGCTAGTTAAGAGGTAGCCCGGGCAAGTTTGACGTTTTCTACTTTCCTCTGCTATTTAAATGAGTATTATGAAAGAATCTGCATCCTGTTAGATCAACAGCAAGTCTGGCCTGATTTCAGTGATGGTGAGATCTTGCTGTGGTTCTTTCCTTCATGCCCAAGGCCAAACTTTTACATGTGATTATCAAAACTGCAGATGTAGTCCGCAGCTTGGCCAGCCACCTGACAGAGCAGTTGTAGGTATAAAGGGGAACTGTGCTTGTAAAAGCTGTTAAGTAAAATTACAGTGTTTCTCTGGTAACCCTTTTCTGGTTACTGGGCTTCTGACTCGCTGGTATACTGGCTTTGTTAATGGTGTCATCATGTGAACACGGAAGTGAAAGCTGTGATCTACTTGTGACCTTCTCTGTCAAACTTTGCATTAGAAAATACCCAGGGTGGATTTGAATGCATTGTTTTTTTGGTCTTAAAAGCAAGTACGTAGAGATGTCATTATTCTGCAAGGTTGAACTCTCACCACAAAGGGACATAAGCAAAGCATTCATGTGTTGCATATCATATATGTTAAACATCTGAAGTGTAGCCTATCTAGTGGGTTTAGTGGAAAGCCTCGGAAAAATGTAATAGCTGAGTGAGTTACCACCCAGACCTTTCCTTATTTCCCTCAATTGTTCAGCCCTTCTGGCACATCTCCGAATAGACTTGCAGTTTGTCCACTCACTCTCCGCAGCGTTACATGCCTTGCCTTTACCGAGTTGCGGTGGGCATGTATCTTGCAGGCCCGGGCGTGCTCTGTGGCAGGATGCACGCTGGAGTTGTACCTCAGTTGTCCCAGGGCCCCTGCTGGTCCTTTGGGCAGCACAGAGGTGGCTTGAAATGGTCCTTCGTGCTTCGGGGACACACAGAGCCACGGAGGAGGAGGAGGAGCAGTAGTAGTTACGGAGCGCTGATTATAGCTTTAGAGCTGTAAAGTCCAAGGCCAGTGGATGTGTTTACCTGTGCGTAGACAGCGCCAGGGATTAATACTTGCTGCCTAAACCTGTGAATATCATACGTGCTGGATTCAAATACGAAAAGTTATGCCCTTCTGCTTTTCCTCTCAGGCTATCTCACTTCCCGTTTCTTGATTCAGTTCAAATTAGCCCAGTTTAAGGTACTGGAAATCCTCAGAGCAGAAATACATAGAGCTGTCCTGTTTCCAGCTCTGCAGTTCTTTACTGCCCTGTGCAGGGCCCTGAAGGTGCAGTAGCCGGTAGGTGGCAATGTTTGATTAGACACAGGGAGCCACAGGCCCTGCGCAGCTCCCGGCTGCTCAAGGGCTCCTGGGGCAACGTGTACCCTGGGAGCCTGGCAGAGCGGGGCCTGAGCCCCGCTGCACCTCCTCCCTGGCGCCCATGAGGCCAGGGTGCCTGTTCGCAGGACGGCTGCCAGCTCTGGTGGCGAGGCTGGGGTTCCCTGTCACGAGGGAGGGTTGGCTGCAGACCTTGCCCGTGTGTCTTCCCCTAGGTAACCACAGGCGCTGCAGCATGCTGAACAGATCCTCTGCCTGAGAGGGGGATGATTCTGGTTTTTTTTTTTTTTTTTTCATTTGAGTAGGAGTTATTTTGATATTGCAAGAGCTTGTTGTGGTGCTTTAAATAAATGGTAATAACGACAGTGGCAGCTTCCAAGAGTTCATTTGGGAAAGGCATAAAGGAGTAAGCAACAATCTGTAGCTAGATCCTGCAGTTAATTGTTATTACCTTACAGCAGCCAAGTGCCTCATGTTTAAACAGAAAATAAATGTGCCTGGCTAATCAAATAAAGCAACCTGTAGTATATCTGTACCGAACCACTCTGAGTGGTCCTGTACACATGTACTCCAAATATAAAGCAAGATGGTCAGCTGGATCTCGGTGTGAGAGGGAAGAGATATGCACGAGAAAGAGTTGCGTTCACTGAAATTTTGGATCTCGCTTCCAAGAATAGCTCCACACTGTGAAGCACTTAGGAGGTTTTCCAAAGGCAAAAGGGAGTGCAGTTCCCTCCATGTTTCATTTACCTCTTCAGTCCTTCTCCGTTACTCAGGAAAACGAATGCTTCTGTTTTCAGTCTCATCTGACCTGAATCAACTCCTGATGCTGCTGCTTCTCTTGACTAGTGAGGAGAATTATATCTTACAAGGTGGACTCTGTATATGCCACTCTCCTAGTACTCTCTTGTTTTCTTTCTGTTTCAGCATCATGGTCTGCCTCTGGTTTTCCACCCAAATCTGTCTTGTTTTTTTCCTTTTGTCTTCTCCCGTTTCTGTGTTTTTTGTACTGTCTCAGTTTCTCTTCTGTCTTCCTGCCCTCTTCTTGTTTGGTGTTCTTCCCTCTTGCCATCCTCCTGATTGTTTTTCCTACCCCCCTTGGTCATTCTCTTCACTGTGTGTTTGTTTTGTCACGGGGGCCTGTAGAATGACTTATAGGACAGTGAAACCACACTGTCATGGGATGTCAAGGGATGAGGTAAACACCCGCAAGAGGCTGTGAGGTGGAACAGACTGATCCCTTTCAGCCTGCTGGCATCACACAGCAAGAACCCTGAGCTGACCCAGCAGTGAATCTTCAGCATCCCCTTCCTTATTCTGTCTAAGGAACGGCAGCCCTCCCTGTAAATAACTGGTAGAGAGCCAGGGCAAAAAAATACAAAGGGCAGCAGGGACAGTGTGGAAAGAGACATTCCTTGCAACTTGAGCCCCTTCTTACTGATGGTTGTTAACTTTGGAGGAAGGCTCATGCAGCGCTCTATGGGAGACAAGCTGTGTGTGATTACCAGCTTTCATGAGCTGCGGGGACAAGAAGTGGAAAAAGAAGAATAAGGGAGGTCCAGTGCCATAAAACATGTACTCAGTAATTGCTTCTTGCTTAAAATTAAACACAAATGGCCTTAAACTCTGATGCATAAGAAGAATTGTCAGCTCTTCCCTGTTGTCTTTTCTGAAGTTGGGATGAAGGCTGAAGTCTAAGCATTTTGGAGCAGAGCATGTTTCTCAGAGTGTCTTAATGAATTTCAGTGGAGCTGAAAATGAGAAATCGTTCATGCAACTTAGAGAAACACGCTGGGGATGAGTATTCTGTACACAGTTGCTGACTGCAACTGTGCTCATTCCTCACAGCTGTAGAATAAAGGAACACTCTCTGTTTTTTAAAAATAGTTAGAAAGCAGGGGTTTATTTGGTGGTTAGCCCTACTGGAGTTGTCTTTGCTTTACCAATAACTGGGAGCCCAGTTTTCAGTTATTTGATGGTCTTCTCTCTTCGGTTGTACGTGGAGGTAATCTACCAGTGGAGGATTTGATCCTCTAGTTTTAAGGAGAAGTACTTGCCAGCTAGAAGTGTAGAGACATTAGTTATTTTGTGAGATTTCTCGCAAATTAAAATGAGAAAATATTTGGCTTACACATCAGATTTTTCCTTCTGTTCTGCTTAAATTCCAGTGACCTTAAAAACTAGTGCTTTGGGAATATCTTGAGGCATTCCTTTTATGACTTGGTAAATTAGATTCCTTTGTTTTCCAACGTCTAGTTCATGTACAGCAGGTTGCAAATTGGTCACACAAAATAAGGAAGACCTCTCTCTAGCTCTCCCTTCATGAGCAAATAAATGTTGTGACCCTAAAGTCAAATGGAAATACGGCAGGTCCATTCATACCGTGTTTCAAGTCTTTTAAGTTTAACTAGAGATGCTTAGGGATTGTTTCCCAGAAGTGTAGAATTCATATGTGATTTAGTTATTTTTCCCCCCTTTAGATACACTGTAAACTTCTCACATATGACCAGAGATTCTTCGTGATACCAGAGGATTTGACGTTGTCAAATTTCACAAGCCTAATGAGATTGGACGTTATCAGCGCTTGTTGAAGAGAAGTCTGTGTTGCTCTTGGTAACCCAGCATGGGGCGTGACACCTGGCCTGAGTTTGTGCAGTAGATGGCATGCCAGGAAAGGGAAGTTCCATCTTTCATATCAAATCTAAAGTTGAAGATGTAAACGAGGAAAACTTGAATTGGGGTGTTACAACCAATCAAGTGATGGATTTTTAACTTTTATAATCTGACCATTAAGAGACCTGATAGCATTCTTTGCAAGAACTGGAATACTCCTGCCTGCTAAGGCTATGCTTCAGGAAAGTGAGTTCACCCCAGATGACAAGCCTTGCATTTTCAGTTTGATACAGGGCTCTTTGCTCTTTCTTCTAAAGAACTGAGCTATGGAAGCTGTCCAAAGCTGTAGTTTCTCAAGGTGGCCTGATATCAGCCGCCAGATAATCAAAGGCATCACAATACCTAGGGTGGCTATTGGCAAGTATTTTAAATACTGTTTTGGGAACTGATAAAAGTCTAAAAATGGCAACATGTTTTTCCTTGCTCAGAAGTAAATCCATTGGAGTGTAAAAAATGTGATAACTGACCTAAAGTCTACAGAAATGATTTGGCAGACGGCAGAAACTTTGTGACTTCAGCACACTTCGAAACAGCCTCCTAATACCATCCAGATGCTCCTTTACATGCACCACATGAGGAGTGATACGCTTTTGTCTTCCAGATATATAGTGGCAGTTCTAAATTTTGTAAGATATCGACATTCAGGATGAAGTGCTTTTTTAAAAAACAAGGAACTTAAATATTACCTTCACAGAGGATGACATTTTACCGTAGTGACTGGATCTGCTCACTGTCTCTGAATCCGCACTGTTTAAATGGAGATAATTTCCAGAGTAGAAATGCAGACTGAACAGAACCAACCTTTACAGCTCCCTTCAAAAGCAGTGATTGAGCAAAGGCAGCAATTTTCAAGAGTTAAAGATAGGCTCTAAAACAAAGAAACTGTCCTTTGCTGATATATAGCAGGAACAATATGTCAGTGAATGTAGTGTTTCGTTTTTCTCTCCTTGGAGTTTGTGTAGATGTTAAGGTGTTAAAGGTTCCTCATTCTGTACTGTGTGGCAATAAATACTCTGTTCCGTTATTTCACACTTCAAGGGGTAAAATGGTACCTGCGTGCAAGAGACGCAGTCTGCCTTGAAGATAGATAACCCAGTTTTTCTTTAAAAATACATATGATCCTGTCCAGAATAACTTTACCTGTGATGTCTATTAGTTGTGGAGCTGGCTGGAACAATACAACACTGTCAGTTTTCCTCAGGTGTATGCTCCAAATTCTGGTGGATTTACAGTTTCTGATGAATCATTGTGGTACTGCTCTTTCTAGCTGGCATCCTAAAACTAAATGACCTAAATAGGCCTAAACCAAAGCTTACTGAAATAAATGTGAGTCTTTCCGCAAAAAGGGCTTTAAAGTGGAACAGGTGTAAGAAAACAAGGGAGGGAACTGTGTTTTGACAAATATTCTTACTTTGGCATCTCCTGTTTCTTACCCATTCAGGGTTATATTGTCTGTCATCCTTTAAGACTGAGCCATTGTATCCTGCTGTATTTCAGAAGCCTTGCAAAAGTTGGACTGTAGGACCGAGCTTTTACCCAAGGAAGCTGACGCCTGGTTCATCTTTACCTTCTGTTGTTCCAGTAACCCTCCCTTTGAGCAGTTGCTCTCTGATGATGTTTAGCAGTGAGGTATTTGTATGACATTAGTGTGTATGCTTTAGTTGTAAATTGTCACTGAGAGGTAGTGAGGGCAGCCTTGTACCTCTTCCTTCTTGTGTAGCCCCCTTATTTGGGGCCAGGGAGGTTCTAGTCCTTAAAATCCTTGGTGATGAAAACAGTAGGATTGCGCAACACAGGGAGCATTGGTTTCTGGGTTCGTGTATAGTCTCACAAGGGAACACTGTTCAATAGGCTTCAAAGTGATTCAGCCATGGCATAACCGTGGCTGTGGCCACATCTAATATAGCCTGTAGCTCTTTAAAGAGGATTAGCCTTAGATCAGGGACAGCATTCATTGCTGGATTTCATCTAAGTAGAATATGCTAATGAAATGGAAACGTCTGCAGCAAACGTTGCATAATATTGCACACCCTCAAAATTGAGCGCTGTGTCTTGATATCTCTGCTGCAAGTCAGACGTCTATATTCTGTTTGTTACTTGGAGAAAAAGTGAAGTTTGTAACATCACCGTAATTTCTCTTTAGTAAGTTAAGATAGTTTGCAGTGTTTCAAGCAAAGCTTAAGAAGATAACAAGCGTTTGAAGGTAACTTATCAAACGCTTTAACAATGTCGCAGCTTTCCAGCCAAGAGAAAATCCACCATATCTTTAAATATATTCATTTGGGTCTTCTGTAACAGGTATAGGCTTGATTCAATTCTTCATTCTTTCCCTGTCTATCTTTCCATTGATTTAAAGGGCAGGTTAGTGCTTACAGGAGTGTCAGGATCAGTCTGCAGAGAGACAATATTTCTGACGTGTTTCTGAGCCATTTCATCCTTTTAAAGCAACTTCTGTGCGTACATTAGCCTCAGTTGGCAGTCCAGTAGGCTTGAATTAGCTCTCATTTTCCAGTTTTACGCCAGTCTTTTGAGTTCTTAAGAATTAGTGTAGTGTATGTGTTTATATATTTATATTTTATATAATATAAATACACATACACACATGTGTGTATATATATATGTGTGTGTGTGTATATATATCTACCTAAAACTTCAAGGAGATCAGTGATTTAAACTGTCTGACCTGAGAAGCTGTGAAGGGTTTTATCTGCAGAAGGTCATAAACACCTCTCAGAAAATTTTCTGAACATGAGCATTGGGAAGTCACTGGCCCCTTGTGAAAGCCTTGGGTGTGTTGTAACGTGTAAAGGAACCCATTCTTATCACATTAGCGTGTGGCATGTAATCAATAAAGATGATTCCAGGTATAATGTTTAATGCCACTTACTTGTAAACTTCACAGGAAATTTGTTATCCTGATAGGAAACCGATTCAGTGCCTGGACTTGAAACCTTTGCACATGGAAACGTTTAGACCTGCCACGAGCTATTTCCTCCTCCCCCAAGCAAGCAGGCATTCATGAGCGGCTCTGTCCTATCAGCCCAGTGGTGTGTATGTGTGGCCAAGGTTTTGATGTCTGTGCAGCACATTCAGACAAATACTTGATGTAAAATACAGTGATGTATGTAATACACCTCAATGGGTCATTTTGCTTTTTCATGCTTACAAGTGAAGACTTGAAGTGCCTCATCCCAGGGTGCTGGGAAATAAAAGTCCCAAGAAGGACTTTGGGAAGAAGATCCTTCTGGCTCCGTTTGCCAAAGGTGAGCTTTCATTACTTAGTAGTTTTTCACTCGGCCCAGCCCCACAGCTTAGGATTTTGTTGTTCTGGGATTTTTTTTTGTTGGTGGGTTGTTTTTTATTTTGCAGTTTTGAAGGGTTTTTTTCTGTAGACGTGGAGGGGTGGTGATACATATTCATGAAAGTGAAGTCTTTCCAGCCCCTATTAGCATTGACAAAGACTTAGCTGTTTCACACAGCAAACTGACTGGAATTGTGTGGGGCCTGCCTGACCAGATTAGAGCAAACAGCAAGCTTATTCCTCCAGTCCTTAGGCCTCGCCTTCCTAACAATTTCCCCAATTGTCATTTTGACAAGGCTGTCATTAGGTGATGGCTTCTTTTGGCCATTTTCAGATCAAGATAATTTCCTTAACTTGCATTTTATTTGACAACGAGTAGTTTGGGAGAGAAAGGAAGTGCTTCAGTAGTTTATGGATTAAGGGTTTGTCACTTCAAAGGCATCTTTGATCTAAAAATATGTGCTGTACCAAATTAATTGTCGTCTTTTTTAAAAAAAAACCTTTTTAATTTATTGATCTGCCCCTCAATTATTCCCTTTTTTACATCCCCTAGTGGTGCATGAGATAGCAGTGATGAGGGGAAAGAGCCTAAATTGCCACTCTGAAAAGTCATTACTAGGGCAAAACAACAGGTGCTTTTGTTCAGCACTAAGCACTGGCTCCATCACAGATCTGGTTTTAACCAGAGATCTTGCCTGCTCTTACCATGGGAGGGATAGTTAGCTGGGTGTAGAGATTGGTTAAAAATTTGGGGAAGAGAGAGAAATACCTAGGAACATAAGTTTCATGAGGACTGACTTTTTATGTATTGTTATTTGTCCGGTCGCCCCTCGTAAGATCGAATAATGGCCTAAAAATGTGGATCTCATACAGGGAACGTTTAGCAGAATGGAGCTTGTCTAGTTCAGTAATCATTTTGACTCTCAAATGTTTCCTTTAGTGAGCTCCATGAGGTGGCTGGTGGCTCTGTGGTTTTGTTATAATGTTTTCTGTGGCTGATTCCCCCGCCCAGCCTTAAAACCTTGCTGGCGTTACAAAAGAGCAACATTCGCTGATTAAGGTTAGCTTTGAAATGAAGCTTTGGAGTTACTTTTATTAAAAAAAAAAAAAAAAAGGAACTTTAACAAATCTTTTGTTTCTGTGCTGCGTTAAAAAAATCCCAATTGCCATTCTAACAAAAACATAAAAGCGTTTTTCCTGTTCTGCTTACAACTTTGATGTTCTTCCGCAAAGCACTAATCTCAGCTTTGGACCGGGTAGGTAAGGCCACTGTTGAACGTATTATCTGCCTGAACTTTATCTACTGGAGGAGGAGTGCTCTTAAGCGCAGATCATGCGTTGGCAGAATTTGTATTTGGATACTTAGCTCGCTCTTCTACAAGGAAAGCAGGATGTAGTGTTAGTTTGAATACAGGTCTAGAGTTAGGCTTCTGCAGCGTTTGAGCTAGCCAGGTTAAGCACTCCATTTCACTTTGGACCCTTCTCTGCTTTTTAACACTGGGCAAAACTTTGTTCCCCATTATGTCAATGTGAATCTGTCATGGTAGTGTTGTTGCTCGAGCCTTACACAGGCTTAACTGTGATTGGCATTTGTTCTGTATTAATATTAATATCAGTTCCATCTAATTACTTTGGCTTTTTCTGTAATGCTACCTCTGTAGCATACCCAGCCAGATAACCATCTCCTTGCTGCTGGAGGCTGTTTCTGATCCCATTTCTAAACAGAAGCTCTTCTGCTTCAGCTCTGGCTGGGGTAGCTGTGCAGAGGCTGGCTTTTTTTTTTTTTTCTTTCTCCTTTTGCCTGCTAATTGGCTGAGACCACCAGAATTTGGAGGACACAGATGTCACTGATAGTTTGCCTAGGGAGCACATTCATGCCCATCTGTTGCAGTCTAGAAGGCTGTTCATATATCCACAAGGCCTTCATTTAATTCTTGTCAGAAAGTAATGTAAATCCAGTTTACCTCAGAGGTCACAGCCAAGATTTATGCCAATGAGCCCCCTGCAATTTACACACACTGTAGTTGTATAGGATGAAAAGAAAGCCTTTCATGTTGGTGCATATTAACAAGAAAGCTTGCCTTAGGAGAGGCTTTTTGATTGAGGTTCTTCCTTATTTTAATGCAGCCAATGCCAGTTGGTATATCCAGCTTTACGAAAAGAAATCATCTAATTTTTAAGTCAAAGAAGTAAAATAAATAAATAAAGCCCCTAGCAAATCCGTTTTTGTCTTAACCATCTTGTCTCTTTCATGTGGCAAAGCTTCCATGTGCGAGAAAGAAAGCTAAATGCTGCAGTAAAACACAAGCATGCGTGTTGAAATAGTCAGGAAACTGAATTTACTTTCGGTGAAGGATACTATTAACTGATCAGCTGAAAAGCTGTACATGCTCGTGGTACTAAATCATTTTAGCTTGTGTTCTGTGTTTTTGCTTTTTTTTTCCTCCATGGTTGACAAATCTGCCAGTAAAGGTGTGCCTGTTATTTTAACACAGGTAATGGGAAAGTTTCCAAAGGATTCGTGCTCACATCCGTGGGAGAGGGAGCAACTGAGGGTGCCGTGTGACTTCTTACCTGCTGAAGGAAAAATATCAGCCTGAATGTCCGATTGCTCTTTTAGTGACAATCTTTTACATTTTTTTTCAGTCTCCCTACAGAAAGTAAGGTGAACCAAATTATCATCATGCACACTTCTGGAGTGAAGGTGAGACTATAGTTCAGTCAGCTCCAGGGGGGTCTGCAGCAAAAATAGATCAGCACTGCCTCTCTGTTACAATTTCACCACTGTCCCTCTTATTTAATCAAGAGACTGTGCCAGCTTTAAAATCTTGCTCAAAAATTTGTATAGCTTCCTTGACCCTGGGGAAGCTCCATGCTGATGTGCCACACTACACCAGCAGCTGCTATATACAGTCTTCATGTTGAGCAGTTCATTACTTGGTTAGAATAAGGAAACTATTTTTTACAGACAATCATGGGCAACTGTTCCTACCGCAGCACCTATTACAAATGCTATACTGCCATGTGGCATTGGCCTGACCTAAAGTGTATGGGAAGGGAAGACTCATTCCAGCCTGTTGAATTAAACTCATGGGAAAAGGCAGAAGTGCAAGTGGTACAGACACTTAAATTGAAAAGTAGCTGTTAAAAATAAGTTAAGTACTTTGATATCAAAATTGCTTGTGAAAACAGGCAAAGAAAAACATCAGGCAAAGATGGATCAGGGTATGTAAAGAGAACACAAAGGGTTTCTGAGAGGAGCGCCTCTAACTTCCTTAGGCCCACCGTAGTTGGGGGGGGGTGCTCTTTTCTTTTTTATTAGTTCCACTTAGGGGGTTCCTCTTTCTAAAGAGAGTTACCTCTTCCTCACACAAGCATAAAGAAACGCTGGCCCAAGCCTCCTTGCGGCTACAATAAGCAGCAAGTCTCTTCCTTCTCCCCATATTGTCTGGCCAGTGGATTTTGCTTAGGCAAGTGCTTCCGGATGTGATAGGCATCAGGATCGCTGGATCGTAATGACCAGAGTGGTTTGGGGTTAGGAGGGAGGAGAGCAAGGCATAGCTGGCATCAAAATTAAAACAGGGCTCAAATTCTAACTTGCAGTGTAGCACTTAAAATAATTAAAATGTTTATTTGAAAGTCAAAACAGCCTCAGTCATAAATAACTATCCATTCCTCAATTGATTGTGCTGAGTCCCAACTGAGGGCTCTGGGAATAAGGTTTATTTGCTCCCTGTTGGGATTAATCCATAAATGTAGTCTCCGCGTGGAACTCATCAGGTCTTTGCTTCCTCTTCATTAGTCTCCCTGGAATTGAAGGGCAGCCTGACTACGATGAAAATTAGGATAATATATTTTCAGAGAGAAAAGGTCTGGCAATCTCTAATTTGTGTTTCAGGACCATAATGCTGTGGAAAATTTCCCAAATGATGTTGCCTGAGAAGCAAACGCTTGTTATGCTTGCTGTATTTGAAGTTTGAATGTGTCAATTACATCTAATTTTTTTTAAAGCTTCCAAAGCTAATTGTAGTCTTAAGCTAGCTAGATTGATTTCCAGGCTTCCTTCTATCCACAGTATAACTTAAAATTCCTTTCTCTTGACAGATCTTTTGGTCTTCTAGCCCAAGGGCTCTGAAATGTCACAGCATGGCCCATTTCTTATTAAAGAGATCATCTCACTATAGCCCACCCAATTCCTTCCTCCCTCCCTCTGTTCTCAATCCTACCTCTGATTAGACAGCCACTATAGAAATACGCTTTCCCTCCCCCTGAGGCCTTTGTATTTTTTTTTCCATGATATTTGATGCAAGAATGTTTTTTAATCCAGGCTCCAACCAGAAATAGCACCGATTTTTTTCATCATTTGTGTTTTGAAGTGCCTAACAATTGTGTCAGTCTTTTAAAAACACTCTGTGCCCAAAGTTGTAGTCAAGGGGCTCTCCCGTCCCCAGAAAATGCTTAAGTCCTCAATCTGATGTAAAATTATTTTCATAAGTCAGAGTCTTAATATGTGTTTTGAAAGTAGTAGCTAAATTATTTGCTGGTGTGTCCTTAGAAAGCATTTTTGTCTATACAGTTTTGCAGCATATCAAGCAATGTTTGGACCTCTTTTAGTTTTTTTTGTTTTTTTTTTCACTTCAAAACTCAAGTCACCTTTAAATACCTTTTGTTAAGATTTAATAGTACTTTAAGAAAGCTAATTAGTAACCATTGGAAGAGTCCCACATGCTTCTGGAGCTTTGTGCAGGTAGTGCCATTTGGCTTTAGTCTTAGGTACTGTATTTGCCACAAGTTGTAAGCTGTGCTCTTGGCTGTTTTCATGTCCCAGCTGTCATTCAATACTGCAGCTGTTACAAAGCACACAGTGAAAGTGGCATCTGTAAAAAGGATGCTGCTATAGTTTAAAGCTCTTTGGTGCATTTGAAATTGATTTTATGATGCAAATCATTCCCGTTAGTGATGGGCCTCAAAAGGATATCTTCACTCTAAGTACTAATGTACCATTTATTGCACTGGTGGTTCCCTCACTTTGTTGTCACTGCTGTTGTAAATCACTATTTATTACTCTAAGTGTTCTCACTGTTTATTTAGCTTTTTGGAAAAAAATGTACTTGAAGAAAAATTTCTCACTTGCTGAAATTCATGCATCCTCATCATCGGTCTGGCAGTTTCCCAGTGAGGTCAATCCTTACAATCCTGGGAAGACAAACGCACTAATGTACACTAATTTAAGCTTCCCTGCTAAGCCCCATCAGTTCTTTGTGAGGCTCATGCTCTGTGTGACTCACAAAGCCGCGGGGTCCTCTTTCTTACAGTAGAGACCTATGTGGTCTGCCAGGCTGCAGCCCTCTACCTTTCCACGAGCTATATTTTAGACTAGTTTTGGGCTTTGGCGGCAGCATAGACAGAGAAGTTGGGGCCTGTGTGTAAGCTCCCTTTTGACTCACTTGATACTATGCTATTTTTTGTAAAGGCAGGTATCTCAGCACTTATTTGCTCTAGTGCATCTTTATAGAAAACTTTGATTAGGAACATGTATCTACTAGGAGTTGGGAGGGTGACAGCTGAACACAAGTTTTCTTCAACACACTTCTGTGTGCTTGTGTAACAACCTCCTCCTCTCTGTCTGACCTTTCTTAGTGGGGCTGATGTACGTGTCTGTGTACGTGTCTGTTTCTAGAGAGGACTTCCTAGAAAACAAGATTTTTGCGAATCAGTTACACAGAGGAATGGAGTCAAGGCCAGATGGCAGGGATGCTTCATCCCAACCTGGGAGGTACTCATGGGGAAGCCACACGCCCATCCACACAGGGCTGTTTAATCGGATGAATCAATTAGCAGATGTCAGTGTTGTTCACAGAGCAAGCAACACTAGCATAGGTGTGTTACCGTGATTATAGTAGAGAAGACTGTTTTTCTTTTCCTTGATGGATGACCAGCAACTGGATCAGCTTTTCTAGAGCTGGCAGGGTAGGGAGGAGAGGGCTCTGCTTGTCCCAAGGATGTGCTTTTTTGGTGGTGTCACCAGGCTCAGATATCTATCTTTGCTGTCGCGGAGCTGCTTAGGAAGAGGGGAACTTTGTGAACTGGGATTTGGACTAGGACGTAGTGCTGTGATCAAATCCCATGAGTTTGGCTGCTTTTTAAAAATGATCTTTGGTGGTGACAGATAGTTCAACCGTAGGAGTATTTGGTTGTTTTTGGGTGCTGTCCCTGGAAGAGGTAGTCTCTAACTCACACTGTGCAAAACGCTGTTTATGCTGTGGTCAACATCAGCATCCTGCCGGAGGACCTCTTCTCTGTCATATCTCTGTCTCTGATAATGCGTTGTACTCACCCAAACCAGGCACTGTCATTCGGGCTCCATTCCCCATGTCCCCCTTCCTCTTGTGGAAGGGGGTAGGGGATCAGGGCCCTGGAGGCCTGACCAGCCTCTGTGGGACACCCACCCATGCCCCCTGCCTTGTTTCACCTCAGCCTGGGGCCTTCAGTCCTGGCTTGAGCTACATCACAGGGGTACCTGTCTCCAGCCCTGTCTCCTGGATGAACTTTGGACCCATGCTGCAGCTGTATCTCCAGCCCTATCTCCAGACCCATCTTCTGATGGGAGGCCCTAGATGGACCCCAGTCCTGGTCCATGCTCTCACCGTGTGGGGGGCTGTTGCAGCACACCGTTACCAGCACCCAGCTCTGTCTGCCCTGCTCAGACCCTGTGGGGCTGTGCTCTGCGTGGGGGGTCACCCTTAGCTCCTGGCTTGACCCCGCCTTGTGGGAGAGCCTGGATTATATATTTTATTTGATTGTTTTTACTGATGGGTTCATTGTCTAAACAACTTTCAGAGCACAAGTTTCGTTGGATCACAGTCACAAATACAGTGACAAGACCTCTGCTGTTGCTGAGAGTGCGTGCGTGCATTCTTACAGTAGGCATCTCACAGCCACGACCAAGTTTGACTTCACAGCACCTGGGGTGTATCTAGTTGTCTATTCAGAGGCTCAGCAAACAGTCCTGATCTCAAGTGGGATCTCTGTTCTTCTTTGTTTATGTGATACTGGAAGAGAGAAATGAGACGCAGAGTATGTGACTTGACAACACCAGGATGTCAGCAGTAGACCTAAGAAGTGAACCTAGCTCCTCTGTATCTCTGTTTGATGCTGTACCCTTGAGACTCCCGAATTCTTACTAGTGGATGCTTTGTACTCTCCGAAACATTAAGACTACAGTCTGCTTTCACAGTTCATTGAATAGCATGTTAGGACCTTTTTGTGTTGTGCTCCAGAGTGGAGTTACTGTAGAATGAAGCCCTGCAGCTGTATGTGTGGCACAGCAAGAATCGACACCAAGAAAGCACTGTGCGGTTGCAAAGCCAAACTGCAGAGCCTAGGAAATGTTGAAATTAAACGTATCAGCAGTCTCAGCTTTGTCTGAGTTGGTACTACAGCTCTGCGTCTAGCTGATCTCTTGCTTGTCCATCCCGCCCTCCAATTGCTCTTATGTGTCTGTACCCCTGCCCTCAGTCTCCCTTTTATGGCTTCTCTGTTTCTTCTTTCTCTGACATTCATCTGAAGAGTCAGGAAGGTTTTTTTCTCCCTTGTGTGGGTTCCCAGTTCTTTTTGCCCAGGCAGTTACAGTGACTGACTCCTGCCTCCAGGCTCTTTGCTGATCAATCCCATCTTTTGCCCTGCTCCACCTGCCCTTCCCTGGCAGGCTTTCTCTTCCTCTCTCCTTTCGCATGAGTGCATCTCTTTTGCCCTCTGCTTTTCAGTCTGGCAGCTTGCTCTTGCTTGGTGCCATTGAGAACACAGGCTATCTGCCACCAAATCCACGATCCAGAGATCCCAGAGCTGCAGCAAAAGAGAAAAAACTGTCCAGAAATTTAGCTGCTAAAATACAAGTTTTTTCTAGTCAGCAGAGCAAACCGTGTTTGTAATGTTTGTTTTTCTGCCCTCCCCTTCCTCCTGTGGAAGCTTATAATTGGGTCAATTTTAGTCATGTTTTCATAAGTTACGTTGTTTCAAAATATGGGAGTAGTGCTTTTCTAAGAGAAGAGGTCACCAAATTTGTTTTGCTCTGGGGAAGAAAAAAAAAAAGTATTTCCTCCATGCTTTATTTTGGAAGCTGCTGCATTGTTTTAGCAGATACTGAGAGAGATACCTGAGATGGAAATTGTTTTTTGTGAACCGCCATTGGCAGTGTCACAAGCCCCTGAAGGTCTAACAGCAGACGAGTTACGGCAAGCCTAGCAAAGGTGTGTGCGTATGGAGAGCTTGGCCTTTGCTACGTGCAGTCCAAAGGGATGCTGGTGGCCCTCTGCCTCTAGGCGCATCCCCCAAAAGGTGCTGTAGTAACTGGGAAGGGTTTGCAGTTGGTTCTCTGGACATCACATACAAGCTGCTCCTCAGCAACTGCAGCATATCTGGACCCTGTGCATGGGCACTACCAGCTGATTTCCTCTCCCTCCATCCACTGATGCTTGAGGGTGCTTTTGGCCCCTGCCCTGAAACCTGCTCAGCAGTGCACAAGGTGGCGCCAGCACCAGGAGCGCTTCCTGCAGATGAGGGTGCGAGGTGGGAAGGTGTGGAGAGGTGGGAGGCAGAGGTATGGGATCAGCGTGGGTGGTGGAAAGGAGGGGTTAGCAAGTATTGGGGCCTTGGTTTGGGGGGACAGAACGTGTGACAGAAAGAGCAAGGAGGAAGCAGGGTTGAAGATCAGGTTTGGAAAGGCTACTGTGAGAGAAGCAGCAGCTAGTCTCATCAGAGGAGGCCTAGCTTTGTCAAAGGCAGCCCTTGTGCATTTGAGGGACAAAAGCCCCGGTCCTTTCAGTCTGTCACAAAGTTGGTGAAGCTGTAATAAACTCTAGTGTCCGTCCTGTGGGCCTGTGACTTTGTACTAGGTTAGCTCCTGACTCTTGCAGCACTGGCAGGGAAAAGACTCTTAGTTCAGGCAGACTTCTTGAAGAATAGACTGAAGGCTATTTCTGCTTTACTGCGTCAAAACAAACATTGGTAGTACGTTGTGTCGTGTGGAAAGACTGGGTATAGCATGAGAAGAGGTAAGAGGAGAGAGCGACGTGCTCCCGTGCCACTGGATAAGAGGCAGTGTCCTTGTTTCCTCTAGAGCCTGGTAAGCTTGCTCAGCATCCTCAGCAAGCGCAGCGCACGTAAGATCTGCAACTCGGTCCACGCTAAAAGTACTTGAAAGCACAAGCTTCCTAAATGCAAAGAAGAGGTTCAGCACACCCCAGCTAGTCTCTTCACTGTTTGTGGTTTCACAGCTCCATTGAAAAGCAAGTCCTCTCTCTCTGGTACCTCGGGGATGCGTACCTTGTGCAGTTTGTTACAGAGACCCCACAGTAATTTCACGCAGTCCTCTAATACTGTCCTGAGAGGCTGTCATGTATTTTCATGTATTTCCCCTATTATTTCTCCCTGCTTGAGTCTTTCAGATAATTGATGATACTTTAGTTATTCATTTTCTCCCTCTTAAACAGGTAGCTCAGCCTTGAAGGGATCCTTTTCATTTCAAATCCGTGTCTTCTCCTAAGTAATTGATCACTGCGCACCCGGGGACACCCAATTCACAGCAGAGCGGGATCAGGCTTCATGAATAATCAAAACGTTGTGGCCACGCTGTTGCAGGAGTGCAAGCAAGCTCTGGACGCGCTCCTGTCGGCGAAGTCTGACACATGCGAGGAAGACGAGCGAGAATACCAGCGGTGCGAAGGTGAGGTCCTGAGGAGAGGCACCAGGAGCAAGCCAGCAGTTGCTCTGTGCCTCTGCGCTGCAGTGACCAGTCCTCAGCCCTGCCCTATTTTTCTTCTCCTGGCAGATGAGTGTCAAGAGATGACTGGATTTGTAGGCCATGAATGGGATGTGGGCTACAGGCAGGCAGGGAAAGAAGCCCACTTTGTTGCAGTGAATTGCTGTCAGTTCTAATTTTAGGCTTCAGTAAACATGAGGTTGTAAGGAACAGTTCAGTTTGGGAGGAACAATGCCCGAAAGTTTGCTGATGCACATAAATTTCAGTTATTAAAAAAAAAAAAAAATAAAAGGATGCAACTTCTGAATAAGGGCACATATTTCCTCTCCTTTCATAGGAACTGGGGGGAGGGCCTTTTCTGTTTGTCAGCTTCTCCTGATATATTAAAGAGCTCATTGCCTGAATCTTTATCTTGTAAAATGTGCGTGACCTCTATAAGTGCTGTCCAGAAAAAAAAAACTTGCAAAATCCCTCTTGAAAGGAAAATCCATGCCAGCTAATGGCCGGAATAAATATCCGGGAAGGGAAGCAGTGTTTGTTTAGAATTCTAATAAAAGAATTGTTCATTTGTTCTAATGCTAGCATTAAATGTGAAAAACTAGTATTTATTTTGGTATTTATTGTGTTGAGAGTGGTTTTTTAATTTTGTTATTATTTCTTAGTCCCTGT